GGGGGGGGGGGGGTCAGCGGATGTGAAACCCCCACTTGGCGTGGGGTTCGGGGGCCTATTTTGGCATTTTAGAGGGCGAATGGTGCCATTTGGTACTGTTTAAAACTATGATTCAGCTATTTAAAATTCTAATTTCAAGAGGGGACCAGAAATTGAAGGGGGGGGGAGGTCAGGCCCCCCTGACCCCCCCCCCCCTTAAATCCGCCACTGCACAGTATGTCATACTGGTACATTCAGTTATTATCCCTCTCAAATATGTAAATAAAAGGGCTAACATAAAGCAAGAATTTTTATTTGGGCACAAATAAAGTAAACCCTGCCACACACACACCCATAATACAAAATAAAACAACACTCAATTTATTGGCATCTCTGATAGCGAAAACGAGGCATATTTTTGGATAGTGCCCGAAGGTGTTTATTTATTCTGTCACGTTGACCACAAAGACGGCAGTTAAGGTCACAACTGCCACTTTCTACTGCGTATGACAGAGACGACTACTTTCATTCATTTCTTCATACAGCATATAAGTAAAAGTGGTCAAATTTAATCTTTCAAATTTCAAAATCGCCGGCTAAAATTTTACTTAATAGATACTGTAACTTCCGCTTACCTCAGCACTGACTTCCGCCAGCTGAGCAGATGAATCTTTGTCTGACAGGTCCAAGGCTGTATTTTGCCCTTGCTCCTAAATATTTTGTGAGCCTAAACAGCGCACAGGTTGGTAACAGGACAATTACGCGTGATTCCAAGCATATTATAAATCACCATTTAGCGCAATCTAGGTCAAAATCTGTGAAGTGGAGTACATTTGGCAGATATTTCCCTCGTCAAGTTCAACACAGTCAAATGCGAGCCTACACGGCTGCACACAATGAAATGGATCTGGTAGATTTAGTTCGTAAACTCCACCACCTAGCACCTCTAGCGCTGGCCGAGGACTGGGATAATGTTGGTCTGCTGGTTGAACCGTCTGCACCTCATAAAGTCACTGATGTGCTGCTAACTATAGACCTGACTGAGGAGGTATTGGCAGAAGCATTGGAAAAGAAAGTGAACTTCATTCTCGCCTACCATCCACCCATCTTTGTTCCTTTGAAGAAACTTACGCAGTCGTCAGTGAAGGAGCGGATCATCGTAAAATGCATAGAGAACAGAATAGCTGTATACAGCCCACACACCTGTGTGGATGCTATGGAGGGAGGAGTGAATGATTGGCTAGTTGAAGCATTTGGTATGTTTTATCTAACATACTATTTTTTCTAAGTACTGGGTACTAGTTATCCTTTTTTACACCTCAATGTGAGACTACATAAAAAAATTATATTTTACCAAAGTGTGCTTTGCAATTAGAATTCTTCTGGAAAACTATGGTGGAAACTGCTTTATAAATATTTGGCAATAAAAATGCACAACATAAATTAAAGTTTTAAACATAATTATTATATTAAAATAGTCATAAATGCTTAAAACAAATCCCTTCATTGGCTGTCAAGCACTTAAGACATGACTGTATATGCACCAAATGGTCGCACTGATAATTCTCTCTACAAGATAAGCTGTGTTGGATAAACCTAACTGTATATTATCGCCTTTGCATGTCACCATTCTGACTTGCTAAGATCATTGTAATCCAAGCTAAATAGCCACTGAAGACAAATATTTCAGATTCCTTGAAGTGATATAATATGGCAGGACATTGAGCTTCTTATGGCTGCCATAAGAAGATTACGGAATTACATTTGCATTGCTGATACAGTTTATTAGCCTGCAGACAATATCAAGTTAGACCAAATTGTTTTAAGCTTTAATTTATTACTATAATTTGTTAAGTTGGGAATTATTTCACATAATTGTTTTAATTGGAGATGTCTGATGAAATGGTAAGCCTTTTCTTTTTACTAAGATTTGTAAATTCTTGATGCAAAAACACAGACATTTATTTCTCCTTCTCTGATTCTTGGAATTATAATAGTATCTGCCCTGGTAATATACTATAATTCCTTGCCTGTATGTAGGTAAAACAGAGAGATCAGATCCTATCAGCCCAAGTCTGGCTCCCAGCTGGCCCACTGTTGGCAGTTACAGGGTTGATACAAGAGTGCCTGCCAATGTGATCCATGAATTTGTGACTCGAGTACAGAACACCCCAGAAGTGGAGATAACAGACTCAGCAGGGTAGGTTTTTAATACACTCAAACTTCAGTAAAAATATCCCATTCTTTTCATATGAGACTACAAATAAATAAGACAGTCACTCTCTCTCTCTTTCTCTCTCTCTCTCTCTCTCACACACACACACACACACACACACACACACACACACACTCAAGCCCCCCCCCTTCACATTTACAAAGAGTTGACATTATACCACAAATATTAATTTGTGGTGATTATTTGTTTGGTGTATTTGTTATTTGTTTAACTGAGGACCTTCTTTCCTTAAGTCGTGTATGTGCACAGCATTATTTTTGTGAGTTGTGGGAAAACCTTACATTTTCAATTTTCTTAAAATCCATACTTTTAAATAACAAGTTCCTTTATGAAAGCTGTAATGCCTATCCTGTAGACATATTTTGATGCATACTAAGTGATCTGATATGGGAATAGATTTTAGACATTTGATCTCATGGATGGAGGACAGTTGACTTCACCAGATGATCCCCATCCATGTACGGTTATATGTTCCTATTCAAACTTTCAGGTTGAACTCTAGTGGTCCAGATCTAAGGTTACAATTGAACTGTGGAGAGAAAAGCTTATCCAACTTGATAGAGCTCTTGCATAAATACCATGCCTACAAGGAGTTCACTGAAGTCATAGCGCTAGTAAAGGTATAAAAAGNATGCTATCTGGGTTATAGGGATATTGTTTTTCATATCCAATCAGTAAATTGAGAATTTTTTCCACCATAACAGCCTCTTATAGCACCTTACTAGCAAAGGAGGTACTGTATGTATTATTTTTGAAAGAAAAGTCCATCCACAACTTTTTCGATATATACATTTGTGATAGATGGTATAAACTACTGGTACACTAGTTTATGTTAACATACTTTAAAATGTCCCCCCCTTTGCTTGAAATACCCTGATTTGAGAAACATGCATAAACAAACAGACCATGTCGAAATTAAGCAAATTATGCTCAGTATTTTAACAAGTCTTGCATAATCATGGAAAGTGTAGTTTAGTGTACTCAAAAACTGACCTTTGATGTGGTGTAAATTATGTACATATTTGTAAAAGTGCCTTTAAAAAAGCCTGTTCTGAGAGTAACTTAGTTTGAACTTGTATTGTTGTAATCCAGGCGAACATTGCTCAATAAAAGTATTACCATAAAGCATTTTGCAATTTACCTGTCTCCTATATGGTCTTACTTTGCCACTTCTGACCATCAGGCCTACCATACAGTATAACTTTTTTCCCATTGTCTCAGGAACAATAATAATAATAATAATAATAATAAGCACAAAGTTTATTTATATACGTATATCTGTATAATAAGTTAATACAATGTTCAAATTATAATAATTCAATGAGTTGTTCACAATGTTTTTACTGTGAAATATATACAGCAGGGGCGGATCCAGGATTATTTGAAAA